AGAAACTTCCCAGCAGGTACATAGACTGTTGAGTGATTGACGGCCTTGGAAGCTGCTCGGATGGCCGCCTGGAATGCTTGTGTGCAGTTTGTCACACCATCTCCCACAGCACCATAGTCGGTGATATTGAACCTGGAAAGGAAGACAATTTCTGAAGCTTTGCCACGGGGTCATGTGAGAGCTAGGAATACCGCATTTTCCGGTGTATAAGCCACACTTTGACCACTCAAATTTCACCCAAAAAAGGGGGATGCGGCTAATACTCAAAAAATCAAACGAGAGAGCTTGGAAGCTCAGGACCCTACGCTATGCTTTTTTGCCTTGATGACCTAGACAAAAAAAAGCATAGGGATGTTATAAATTCTTATAAAAAATTCCTTTTTTTTAAAGACATAACCTGGGATTCGAGCCCGCACTATCGCGCGCCCTGCATGCATCCCCCGATACACTTCGCATACATACTAATTCTTCCAAGTTGCTTCACGTGATGATCTTGCATGTATTTGAAAGCCCTATTTGAATATGCATTGTGGCCAGCCGTCTTTGATGGTACGGTACGGTACGGGATAGGTACGGGACAGGTACGATCGAGGGTAATACGACACTATCTACCGCCTTGATGACGGCAAAAAAGCATAGGGATGTTATAAATTGTTCAATTCTCCTATTTTTTTTTTCAGGCATATCCTGGGATTCGAACCCGCACTATCGCCCTACATGCATTCCCCCATACACTTCGCATTCATACCCATTCTTCCAAGTTGCTTCACGTTATGATCTTGCGTTTGAAAGCCCTATTTGAATATTGCGGCCAGCTGTGTTTGATGGTACGGTACGGTACGGGACAGATACGGGATAGCGCCAGGCGTGACACAAACACACAAACAAACACACAAATACCAAATTAAAGCTGTGTGGACCCTGGCTAGCGCCAGACGTTACTGAAGTAACGTCTTCTGCATAGCTACGGGAATTAAAATATAGATATAAATAGGTCAGTTTGAGCACTCCGGCAAGGTAGGTTCGGGCCTGGTTGATTTATTTTTCATTGCTACCAGGTTCGCCCTCATTTCCTCTGTGCTGCGTTGATGAGTCCACAAAGAACAAAACAGTTCTGTTCGCAGATTGAATACGCTAGATATCTGCATTTCGTGGCAAAAAAAAACAAAAAAAAACGTGGGGTGCTATACTTCAGTGTGGCTCGTGCTCTGGAAAATACGGTAATTACTATGGGGACTGTCTACAGTGCCCATGCTAACTCCACCAGCAGAGAAACGTAGCATTTTTGCAGCCGACACGAGAACAGAACACTAACAAAAATGTGTGTCTTGACCCCAGGCCATGATTCGGAAGTTCTTCCGCGATCAGTGAACTGTTCAGCTTGCGATAGCAATCCTGATCTGCTGACCCCAAGTGTGGCCCAGCAATTGCATAATATGGAGGCGTACATGGTTCGGCCCTGCGCCCAAGGGAGGACAAGAATAGCTTCACATGCATTCGCTTTAGGTTTCGCCATGACTTCACACTCAACATCACATTCACACTCAACATCAAGAGCAGAAACTAGGAGAGGATCTAGCTAACTCTGCCCTGACTGTAATTTTCGCCATTGCCGAGCCGCCGTGCTCACAGCAGAGACTTCTGCGTGTGTTATTGTTGTGAACGGGGAACACAAAGACAACGTGTGTTGTCCCAGTGGACACGACTTGAGCGTCGGGAGTAACATCCTAGTAAGATTGTGAACCCCACCATCCATGCCGCATATACCTTCAGGGGGGGGGGGGGGGTGCACGGCCGCATATGTGTAGGCTGGTGTACGTCATTCATGGTCACTATGTGCATGCTGAACCTGGGTCGAAATTGTTAGCACCCCCCACCCCCCACCCCCCCCCCCCTCCATGCTCCATGCGAGCTATGTGCTTTCACCTTAGACCTCAGATGCCCATTGCCAGACGCGATGGTAGTGATGCTACAGCCTAAATAAGCCTTGTGATGTGAAACATGTGCTGGAATTGCAGCACTACCGGTCGACAGCTTGCAAGCCTCAAGAATTGACCGCCACCCTACTGTGCTTTTTGAAGCACACACAAAACACGTACACACAAACACACACCATGTACCATGTATACGCCCATCGCAAGAGAAGCACTCGAATCTGTAAATGCACTGGATATGCACCCCCAGATTTTCTCTTATAGCAACGATAGCGGACAAGACCTGAATGAGACAGATCAAGACTTGCGCCAGGTAACTGTCTAATCCACGCACACGCGCGCACACACACACACACGCACGCACACGAACACACACACACGAACACACACACACACACACACACACACAAACACAAGCACTGCTCTGGACTTACAAACTCACACGTGTCTCTCGTCGCTCTGAACGCCCTCCGCCATCTCCATCCGATCATTCATTCTTCCATTCATACCTGCCACATTGGTAAAGCTATCGAGGTCAAAATTTCTACTCCTCGCTGTCACTTCTCCACGATCCCTCCTCTCATTGAGAAGGTCTGCTTCAGGGCCAAGGCAAGCCACATGGCTAGTAAGCGACGTAATGAGCACCAGTAGCATAGCGCAGAAGACATGCTCCACAAGCCGTTCCGAAGCTTGTCGACGTGCACAACGACCGCTCAGCAGCATTGTGGCTGTTTTAGTGTGGGTCAACCGTGTCCGACCGGAGGCCGGAGCTCCGGGGCCGGGGGAAAGTTACACGACGGTGGACACCGGTAGCTGCGTGGTCACGACACACTGAGCGTTTCGGATAGGCTACGATGGATCCCCGCTACCAACGAAGACATAGGCATACTGCACGTAGTACTTCTTTCAGTAGCCGAGAAAGAGAGGAAAGCTGCTGTTTGCACTTTGTAGCAAGAGAAAAAGAATGTTTAGAAATTCGATAGAAAGATTGGCTGTTGATGGCTGCAGAAAGCCAACTCGGCAAATGTCACCAGATCACGCAGCCAGTAGATCTACAATGACTTTCTGTTGACATGACTGGTATACCTGTGCAGCGCTGTAGCATGCAGGATCTGGTTCGAAATGCATGAAGGCAATCACACACTTGCCCGGTTACCCAGTAGTCCCCATGTCATGGCATGCCCAGACTAGGAACCCACCTCAGACTCAATCCTGAACGGTACTTGCATTCACCTAGCACAGCTCTAACAGCTCCAGCTTTTAGAAGACAACCAATAGGGCTTGAAAGTGCTACGTCACTCCATAGCAATGGCATAGCAACAATTTGAAAAATTCGAAAACTGGATCCACCTGGATCCAGTCTTTGTATGGATCCAAGCACATTTCAAGCGGTCTCACTCACAGCAAGGTGATGTTGCCAGTGAAACTGACTGATTTGGCTAGTGGGGACGGGGTGACAACTGGTGGCGAAGTAAAAGTTGCACCTGCATACGACATGAGTGGGTTGCTATGCACCCACATACTGAGGCAATAGCAAAGTCACACCTTGGTGGATCCAAAATAGAAATCTGATGTCAATTTACTACTCCCAGGCCGTTTTTGACGTCATCACTTTCAAGCCCTATTAGGACAAAGATGGAATTTAAAACATGGGCGTCGGAAACGTTTTCCGTTTGGTCGGGCTTCACTGCAGTTTGGTCGGCTGTTGTACGATAGTGAGGTACACATGCCAGCATCCCCCCCCCCCCCCCATACACATACAACACATGCTACCCACCCACCACACACATACACAAACAACACATGCCACCCCCTCCCCAATACACCCACAAGCAACACATGCCACCCCCTCCCCAATACACACACAAGCAACACATGCCACCCCCCCCCCCCACCCACCAGACACACAACACATGCCAGACCCCCCCATACACACACACACACACACATACACAAACAACACATGCCAGATCCCCACCACACACACAACACATGCCAGATCCCCACCACACACACACACGCGCGCCGCACACACACCAAACACAAAGCCAACCGAGGCAAGGCACTGCAGTAGGAAGCAGCTCTTGGGTAATTCCACAGCACAACAATCACAAGCGGTACAGGCACGCAATGGCGGAAGATGATACGCCTGTTCAAGCAGCATGTCACCAGCAATGAGAGTCAAAGAACAGACTTCAAATCTGCCTGTGAGAGAGAGAGAGAGAGAGAGAGAGAGAGAGAGAGAGAGAGAGAGAGAGAGAGAGAGAGAGAGAGAGAGAGAGAGCGAGAGAGAGAGCGAGAGAGAGAGAGAGAGAGAGAGAGAGGAGAGAGAGAGAGAGAGGAGAGAGAGAGAGAGAGAGAGAGAGAGAGAGAGAATGTGTGCTCACACCCAGGCTTTTCATGCAGGATCTCTGGACTCACTAACTTACATTCTTCGTCTTCATATAACTATTATACCAACACATCTGTGTCTCACAACTGCAGTACATAATGCGCTCATCGCAAAACCTCTAATGTCACATCGGGACACAACAACGCAAAACGTAGTGTTGGACGCAAAAACTGCAATATAAAAAACACAGATACAGATAAATTAAAAAAATCAAGTCGTCATATTGTCTGAAAAACATGAGCCCTCAGAACGCGTAAACAAACTACGCTCAATCTGCGGAGAAACGAATAAAAAAAATAATTTCAAGTTTGCGCCGATACTTCTGCAATTAGCCCACTGAACGAGAGCTGGCTCAGTCTGAGGAGAAATAAATTAAAAATAATTTTAGTTTGCGGCAATACCTCTGCAAGTAGCCCAGTCAACGAGAGCTGGCTCGGCAAGTGTTGGAAGTTGACACAGCAGTCAGCTGTGTTACAGGTATGTCCGAAACACGTTGGTCACAGCATCGAGCACGGGGGGGGGGGGGGGGGGGGGCGCTGTCGGAACTTCACCAGCGGCAGCAAGCATTGCTTCGGACCCCTCTTCTTCGTCGCGGGTGAGGAACGCAAGAGATTAGCCGTGAATAGTTTGGTCTGTGGAGGTGAAAAGAGCACAGAAGCAAAGCACAGAGACAGCACTCAGAACACAGAAACACAAGCACACCATCTGTCTGTGCTGCAAGCAGATACCGCACAACATTCGGATGACAGTTGTCTAAGGGGTCGTCGCAAAAGTTTCTTGTCGTTCGTTTCGTACTCGGACCCCCTCCCCTCCCTCTGAAACGAACGCAGCTTGCTATGCTGGACGACGAAAATCGCATGCATGTACATATTGTACAGTGTCGGTCGACTTGTGATTTTGGCTCGCACCCCCCCCCCCCCCCCAAAACTTTCAGGGACGACAAAAAACTTTTGCGACGACCCTTTTAAGGACCTCAGGCTGAGTAGAGCGCTCTATGTCCAGTGGACAGAGCCAGTAATATAGTACTCATACAGGAATGACACAATCAAGTCATTTTTGTGCCGTTACTCAGTTTCATGTCATTGCTGTGTGAGCACCGTAACACTTTGATGACATGGAATACGCATAAAAAACTAGGGGTGAAAATAATAATCTTAACTCGGATGGCGAGCCAATAAGATCAAGGATATGAAGAAGAAGGCAGGGGGCGTCGGACACGGTACGGTCACTACGGTATTGATCGTACCACTCTTCGCCCCAGGTACCCCGGGAATCAATAAAACACACTGATCTGGGATCTAAATTTCCAAATTTTTTTGCTCACCCACCCCACGGGTAAATTGTACA